TTGAAGGCGAGATGCTTATGCTTTGTAACCCATTCCTTCCCAGGAATAGTCTATCATATAGTTAGAACTGAAATGTGAGCATAAATAGTAGACTTGCATAGGGTTCGTAGAGCTCGATGCATCGGTTTTTCCAGACGACCAAATACTCTCGCCACATCGTGTTTCTGTCCCTTCTGGTTTCAGGCATTTCCAGTAGTTGTTGTTCGTCTAGGTATTTTTGTATAGCACTTGGTGTTGAGAGCACTCTGATAAGCATCCGATCTGAGGCAATGAAAATCATTAGATTCATTAATGAATCTCGTGCAGGAAAGAGATTAAATTTACCTCGCATTAAGATCCCGGACTCATCGTCTGGGAGTAGCTCCTCTTGCATACGAGCAACAGCACCGGCACTCGTTGTCGGAGATGGCTCTCGGGTTAATACCTCTGTTGGTGACAAGGCCTCGATCTGCGGAGTTGGGACTGCTAAAGTGTCTTTATCTGGCTCTTTGAATTTCACTTTCTCTTTGCCTTTGCCTTTGGATTTTGATACCTTTGGCGACTCTGAACCCTTCTTACTCGAAGGAGTAATGCTAGTGATCTCTCGTCGTGATGTTGATTCTGAGACCTTATCTTGGCGCCGAGATGGGTCGAGTGCACCAGGACGAGAAAGGCTGACAGATGATGAACTGGCTGGTAGAGGGGACGGCGATAGTAGTCGCGTCTTTGAGCTTTCTGCAACCGCTTCATTGGATACAAAATCTGGACTATCCGGAGTTCCGTGAGAGATTGGGGTCTCTCTATGCTCGTCTCCTTCTCCCGACTTTGTGGAGGCTGGGGCTTTGGAGCTTCCAGGTTTAGACGCCGATGTTTTTGAACCTCTAGATTCTACAGTAGCTCCCAGTATTTTGGAAAAGCTAACTGCATTCTCCTCGGGTGATGTAGCCGTCCCGCGAATCCCTTCGGATACGCTGGTCCTGCCAATCACGGGGGGCTCTTCCTCTTCGGGAACCAACATGGAAAGTCCAAGTACGTCTTTTCCAATCTCAAAAGTGTCCCCAACCCATTTCTTGGCAGCCGCGTTAGGATCCTGTGCACCGGCGCTGGCGCTCTCAAACCATCGGGTGTCGCGGACTCGCCGCAAAATCTCCGCCTTGACGCTCTTTTCTTTACTTTCAAACTCCTCTGGTCTACCGCCATTGCTGATGAAGTATAGGTAGGCTCGTTCTCGACTGACGCTGTCTTCCGAGCTGAGACTCCTCCTGTGTTGTGACGCAAGCGAGAATCGTTTGCGGATTCCAAGGCCTATTTTCTTTCCTATACCAAGATTTTGGGCGGCAGGTTCGTTAAACACCTCCCCACTGGCTACATTATTTGGCATGGGCCCCAAAAAGAGTCGTCTCTGGCGATGTTCATCTTCAATTTTCTTGATAGGAGGTGCGGGCTTGACCTCAATGATAGCACCAGGACGTGGGGCTGCAGTTTTTGTCGCGTTGTTGCTGTCTATGTGTATACCCGACATGGGCGGGACCAAGAGAGCACAGAGCAGAGCTATGATGGCCGGGAATCAAGGCAGGGTCACATATGTTTGATCCCAAATTAAACCATCCTCAGATGGACTACTAAAATCACGAAAACAATGCAAGTCCTGACTTGTGATTCCTATGAAGTAATTGCACGCATTTTTATGCCTATTCTAGTCTGACAGCCGAAGAGCCGCGAAGGGTTATTCAAAGGAAAGTCAATTCACAAAATTCACAGCAAAGCCCAAAATTCCTGAATTCGGCAAGAAAAACGTGACTAGATAGAGACGGTAAACGTGTACTTTAGAGTGATTATCTATGTAAAGGATAATATGGGCTTTCTGCACCGGCTATAATTATATTCATCTTTTCCAACCAGAGGAGCTGGCTCGGCAAGTTGGAAAAATGGGTTCACAGTCGAACCTGTGGACTACGAGATTGGCGTATCAGCTATACAAATTGTTAGTTTTGCTGTCGTAAACACAACATTGATCTGAAGACATACATTCCGGCCGTATTGGGTTGGCTAAACCTCTCCGTGGTGCCCATCTCAACATCATCATGGGTCGTTTTCTCAACTCGGGGTGCAGAAGCCTGAGTTTCGTCTTCTTCGCTAATTTCTGCATCCTCAACTTCATCTCTTGTTCACTCATCTTGGCACCACGTTCGAGTTTTGTCTTCGGTTTCTTGGCAGGGTCCTTATAACCTGGTCGATAGATCCATTGAACTTGGGCAGTAGCGTTTAGTAATGCCAATCTTCGTTCGTTTAATACAAACTTGATTCGTGCACATGTCTTACGACACTAAACAAATGTTAGTATACTTTATATTTGGGGAAACCGGCTTTACCATGCGAGCCCGTAAAGAGATGGGAGTAGACGAAACGTGCGCAAGACGGTGCAACCTTCGAAGTTCTGCTTTCTGAGTTGCAAGAAGATTTATTTCTTTTCTGCACAAGTACCATATGATGTGCAAGTCTCTGAAAGATTTTCTTCTCAACTCTGCTGTAGTCCAAGACCGACCTGGAAAAACATGTGTCAGTTGCCGTTACTATGTCAAAAAGGAGTAGAGGGGTAATAAATATAAAAGGGTGCATTAAGAAACACTTACTGAGCCCATGGTCTCTTTCGTTCATATGTTCATAGGTTACATATTTGTACCCTTTGACAGAGTCTTCGTCTGGAATTTTCCGGAAAAAATTATATAGTCCATGGTCTTCCCTGACTGGAATATTTAAATGAGGTCGCAATGCTTGGTTTTGGACTGTGGTCGAAGTCGACGATCCTATTCTTGCAGTTGGAGTTGAAGAGTCCAAAAGAGGCTGCTCTGGTATAACCGTCGCCATACATCTTCTATATGTTAAAGGTACACATGTTCGTGGAGTTGTGGCGCGTCGAATGGCCAGGCGAAGCATGTTTGACTGGACGAAAATAAAAACACGTAGACGCGAACGCGTAGTCAACCTGCTCCCCACCATACCTGACCTTGAACCAATTCAGCCACTTTATATCATTCTAATTTCAAGAGTTTTAATAAATCTATCATGACGGAAATACCGAAAATTCACGTCAGGTGGTGGCATTCGACTCACGGCCTAGCCCATATGGAACTGCTTGCTACACCATCAGCCAAGATATCCACGCAATCATGGACCAAGCTCACTCGAGATGAGTCCGATAGATGTGAGGCAGCTTGGCAGGAGCTGAGCGAGGAGGAGAAGCGGGCGTCTATCGAGACATCCGAGCCAGAAGAACCAAGTCCTTCAACCGGCGAAGATGGAGAGGACCCTCTGATTCTAGGCGTGCCAATAGGAAAAGAGAGATTATTCGAGGTAGATGTACGGACGATGACTGTAAGAACATTCCATATGCTGTGAATCCTATGAATGACATCAGAGCCGGGTAGATGTTCCCAGTATTCTGGAAGTTATCCGGACCTCCTATCAGAGTCAAAAGATCTATTTGGATGTATGATGTGGTGAGCTTCGTGACGACCAAGTTGACCAGCTGTTTGATGTTCACAAGAATCGGCCAGTAGATGAGACTTTGGAGCGACAGTTAGAGGAAGCATATCGAACCATTAAACCTTGGAAAGCCTCTTATCAAGAAGAAGTTCTTGCTGCATTACAAGTTGGACCAGCCGCATATGAAAAACTCAAGCACCCTTTGAACGGACAAGAAGGAGCAATATTTTTTGATGACGCCAGCACAGCGCGACTTGTCTACAACTCCTTTGCAAATCGTGTCTCTTCTGTATTATTTGGCACCCTCAGGGGGAGTCGGACCAACTCGCCTTATCCTTCCGCATCCATGATTCATCGAGGGTATGATGAAGCCCTTCGTCGTACCGCGCCCCCTTCTAGACCAGTTTCTATTTCTCCGTCACGTCCGGCATCTGCCCATTCTGAACTATCTCCCAAAGAGAAGACTGAAAGGAGAAAATCATGGGACGCTAAAACAGTGAACACCATTGCAACTGAGCGGGGTAGAAGGTCGACGGACTTCCCTGCTCCGGATCAGGATGGAACCAAAGCGGAGGACCAAAATTCTCGAGCAAAAGAAGAAGCCTTCTCACCTCCAGATGCCAAAGTTGGGGAAGGGAGCTCTCATGATGTTACTGATCTCATCCTGGTCGTCCATGGGATCGGGCAAGCGGTCCGTAACTCAAATTCATTGTATCGATG